GTGCGTTAAATGTGCTCAGTATTATATTAGTAATCATACCTATACGTAATCAGATGAAGGGTCGAAACTGTACGCGACAGGGCGTATGAGCAACTTTGCTTATTTCTGTGATAAAATAGCCACTAGGAGCGCCAGTTACTGCCGAAAATCGATAGTTTTTCTTGTTTTTTAAGACCCTTGGAGAGATTGTCTAACTTAGCTTATAGCTTAACTTATAAGTAACAAAACTACTTACCGGAAAATCTTATGCTTTGGAACTAAAACGTGACTAAAATTTTTTAAATCTTTGAAGGTCTTTGTAGAACTTTGGCAGGATTTGGAATTGACCCGATACTTTCCAGTTTGTCGATAAATTTACATAATTTGATACATATCGATAACTGAATGAATTTAAATAACACTAAAATCCGATAGCTTAACAAAATTCAATAACTCTACTAATTTCGAGTGCCCCATAAATTACGATGACTTAAGAATGTATATATATCGATATAAATCGATAACTCGATAAACTTTGGATACCTCTATAAGTTTCGTGAACTCGCTTAATTTTGATAGCTTATATTTTTTTGAAACTATCGCCAAATTCTGATATAACCTTGAAATTCCGATAACTTGAAATAGTTTGAAAATTCCAAAAACTACGAGTCGGTAAATCGACAAATTTCAATAAAACAATAACTATCGATAACTCGATAAGTTCAAAGAAATCGTTATGTTACGATATCTCGATTAATTTTGTTAACTCTGTGTATGTATAATGATAATTCAATACATATCGATAATTTGATAAATTTGATTAACTTGACAAATTTCTATAATCCAAAAAAAAAATGTATTGTATTTCGACAACATATTTTCTATGTCTATAAATTTCGACAACTCAATAAACAATAACCAATTTAAATGATTCGATACGTTGCAACAACTCTATAAACATAGATAAAATCCTAAATTTTGATAACTATAAACTTCGATGATTCGATAAATTTCGATAACTTTATAACTTTCGAAAACTAAATTTTTTAAGCCTGAATTTATTTTGATTCCTATTTAAAAATTTCAATAAATGTTCTGTTTTGTACATAGAAAGGCTTCAAAAGAAGAAGTGACCCGAAATTCGTTTTAGATCTACTCATACGGATTTTTTTACCTTTTGGTAGGGCTCTTGTTGAAAATTGATTTTCCAGTCAGCCAATTATATGATTAGTGGCGGTAGCTATTGCTCGACATTTTGGATTAACCGCTTAAAAACGATCAGCCCATTGCATGCATAGATCTGGTTGAACAACCCCTGATTTCGACTTTCCGGGTAGCTACAAAAAATCATTCAAAAAGGCAAAAAAAGGACAATGATTTGTTTAGGTGCTATATCAAAAATTAAATAAAAATTGTTAGGCAAATGACAGAAGTTTTAAGAAAATAAGCTTAATAAACTAGCTGATTGTTTATGAATAGTTTGTGTAAAGAATCTTCCAGCAAACCACCGTTTTATAAAGCCGAAATACTTTATATACGATTAGTCTATTACAAAGAACTAAGAACTATTTTTAGGTAGCTCTTAGCTATTTCCTAGTTCAAATTATTTACGAAGTTATAGCAATTACAAATGAGTGCTCATTGCAAGTACTTACAAAAAATTTTTAAGACAAAATAGTTGTCACTTGACGCAAAGTTTAAAGTTGAGCTAATCTGGGCGTCGCCATCTCCGTCACCTTTGTGCATGTAACTTACTCGTACTTCATAAAAAACCACCGATTCAACTTTTCTGACAACTGACGTTGACGGTGACGCTGACGCAATGGATGTTGTGTACTTTCACTTTTACTGCTGATTTTTGACATTTTTTTTGTTGGCGGAGTTTTTTTACATACGAAGTATTTTCGATAATTTTTTTATAAGCAAAAATAAATTTCTTCATAAAAACAGTTTTTTTCTAATAACTAGTATCTAGATATGTCTAGGAAATTGTTCGATACGCTTTAGAAGTTCTAAACGCTTTAGTTTATTTGATGGCACTTATAAAGGTCTCCTGCCCCAGTGTGTTTTATTGTTTTGAAAAGTAAAATATTTTCTTTTATTTTCATTAAATTTTTGGAAACGTATATTACTTTTTCTTTTGTAGACATGTTGTAAAGAATCAATCAAACTTTAAAAAATTTTCACCAAGATTTCGAACTTTTTATTTAGAATCTTTAAATGATTTTCGGGTATGCAGTTTTGTAGCCAATTAAATTTTAGTTTATCAAGATGCAGTCTTCAAGTCGCTAAAAGCTACCGTTGATTTTTTAGAATTTTTTTTGTGGAGTGGTTGCGCATTTTCTTCCATATAAAATGCTTGTGAACTTTGTGCTCACACGAGCGCCTTGGCATATGCAACGGATTTATGTCCATTAGTGGCAGCACAGTTAGTGAATCGCACAATCGTTACTGCAAACAACAAAAATTGTTAGCTGACAACTCGACAAGTCGCCTTGTTAAAAGTTAGTGAATCGCACTAAGTAGTGCCATGGCTAACATAAGTTTCTGCTATACTTATCCAATACTGGAGGACTTAAAAGGGTGTTGCACCCTCACCTTTGAATATCTGCGAACTACTCGTGAAATGCTGGGCAGAATCCAGGATATGAGCAAACGTAAGGCCATTCTGGTCGAGGGTTGACCTAGTATTTATGAAACGATACTTAATGTCCCATCGGAATTCGTGGCTGTTTGGTAGACAGTTTCTCATACACTGCCAAGGTTTGGCGAGACTTTGTTCGAAACCTTGAATTTATATTGATGGTAAAACATTGACAACTCATAAGCAGGGTTGTCAGGTGTGCGGTTTTTGACTGGACAGTCCGGACAATAAAACAAGTACTGTGAAGTGTGTGATCTCTCTAAACACACACATACACAACCCTCCACCTCCTCTTCCCCCTCCCACGTTTCATCATCTCCCAAACGAAATGGTCACCTGGCAACCCTGCTCCTAAATGACACATTGAAAACTCATAACTGGCAATTTGTCCGAAATTGAGTTATATATGTTACCGACCAGTCCCGATCTTACGACAAACTAGTTTTACCTAGGCGACTACAGTATTTTTGCGCAGAACTCCTTTCCGCGTAGGCGCTGTATATAAGTATATCACCCAATTTCGGACAAATTGCTAGTTATTAGTTGTCAATGTTTGACCATCGATATAGAGCCTACGTGGCAGCTTAGGTACTCCATCCAAAAAAAAAGCTGGTACAATACACATACGACAATGTAACTCTTGAAAATGCTACCTCTCTTTACCGTGTAATTTTCCGCGTAAATGTTAACGGAGGTTCGGTCCACCGCAGGCACTTGATATGAAAATCGAACAAAAAAAATAAATTGTTGAAAAAAGTTAAACAAAAACGGAAATTGTCATAAAAAGACAAACGAGTAACAAACTGTGCGACAATTGCAAAAATAAAAATTGCAAATAAGCGTACAAGTGAATAAATGAGTGAATAATGAATAAAAAAAAAAA